CCCGTCCGCAGAGTGCGAACTAGATTCTCACTCAGCCCGTGGCTTTACACGAAAAAGAGGGTCACCTCACCGGCACGATCCTCGTCTCAGCTCCCTCGGCAGCAGGACCGGCAGCTCGTTCCCTCTCGCTCGCTCTCTCTATCTCTCTCGGTCGCTCGCCTTCGATCGCACGCTGGATCGACCGCACGCTCCGTTCGCTCGCACGCAAAAGCGACGTCGATCGCGCTCGATCGCGGATCGATGCCTGCACCCCCAGCCCGGGGGTGCGCAATACAGCGGCGCAGTCGGCCGCGACCAATCGTGGCGCCGTGTGGGGTCCTGCCGTGGCACGGGCGCGATCAGGTGATGCATCAGGCGGGCGCCTCGCGCCCGCGCGAGGTCGCCCCATATCCGGGACTTGGTGGCGTGGACTCAGCTGGGCGCGTCCTTCGCCCTTGAATTCCGGGGCTATCTCGCCTCGGCAGCTCTCGGCGACGTCCCCGGGCCCTGGGGAAATCGCCGGCCGTAGTGCCCGCCGCGGGCCTCAGCCACAGTGCTCGCCTAGAGAGCCTCTAATCAGAGTGGCGCCATATGAGAAGCGACGCCATTTTCTTGCCAAATCGCACGACAGAGAGAGAGATATAACATTTCTTTGTTTATCCAACAGAGTACTGCTGTGAGCTGTCAGCTGTAGGCTGTAGGGTTAGGTATCGTTAGAAGTGTCTCGTTGTATCTCGTTGTTACAATATATCTCGTTGTTACAATTATAAAAATTGTTGTAGAAATATGGTTGGATGTACAATACCCTTTTGTAATAACAGATCGGAGAAAGGATATATTATGAAACAATTTCCAAAAGATCCAAAACGCAAAAAAGAATGGATTAAAAGTATAAGTAGCAAATATAAAAATTGGACATTATCATCAAAAAATCCATATTTGTGTGAGGTAAAATTATTATCTATTTCTATTATATTTACAATATTAAAGTAAAAAATTGATGTAATTTATAAAAATACATATTAATTAAAATACGTAATCATCATTAATTATGAATTTAATTCTTTTTCTTTTTGTCGTAATCTTTTCAATTATGTGTCATTACATGTGAATTTAATTTAAAAAATATAATAATTGCGATAATAGTTTTATTTACATTTGTTTTTTTTGTGTTATTATAGGTACATTTTTCTCCTGAAATGTGGGAACAGAGAATGGATAACAAAAAAAAATTAAAACTAAATGCAGTGCCAGAAATTTTTGAATTTTTTTTGAAGAAAAAAATTGTGGAAGGTGTACTTGATACATCATCGACAATCAATGCGGTTGAAGGTGAACTTATTAATACATCATCGGCAATCAATGCGGTTGAAGGTGAACTTATTATTACATCATCGACAACCAATGTGATTGAAGATGAACTTATTAATACATCATCGACAACCAATGTGATTGAAGATGAACTTATTAATACATCCTCGACAATCAATGCAGTCCCCAGTACATCGTCAACAGAATGTATAATAACTAATATCGATACACAAAAAGAAAAGGATGAAAATCAAAAAAGAGAAGAAAAAATTCGAAAACTGGAAAGGCGTTTATTTCTTCAGCGCAAAAAAATAAAGATTTTAAGATTAACATTACAAACATTTAAAAATAAAACTAACAATGATAAATATAAAAAAGCTTTAAAGAAAATATGCAATGAGGATCAAATTAGAGCTTTATTTACAAAAACAGGAAGAACAAGAAATTGGCTTAACGTAACTGTTCAACGTGCGCTTAGATTGAGATTTACTTGTGGTATGAATGGTTACGAAGAACTTTTGAAACAAGGAATGCCACTT